GGTCTGAGCCTGCAAAACCCCTCCTTGCAGCTCCAGAGCTGCAGGACCTGGGAGCAACAAGTGGTGGAGGACGCCGCGAGCTCAACCCCCACCTGCGGAGCCCCCAGCCTGGGAGGGTGCAGCGCTGGGACCAGCGTGCGGTTCCCGGGGCGCCTCTTTGCTTGGGTTGTGTCTTTTGTTTACACGCTAGAGGACACATAGTTATGTAAACACCGCAGGAGACACGCTTTTGGAGATGGGGGATGCTTGGGAGTGCTAGCTTCGGATTTAGGGGGGATGCCAGGTTGGTTGACTTACCCCCCTCAAAAAAATAAAATATAAAACAGGCTTGCGGAGGAGAACCCATGGAGACTCTATGGGTGGGAGCCTGGCAGCACCTTCTATTTCAGCTTGAGAATTTTGGCTTCCATGCTACTGTCTGTCTCCGGATGTTTATATGTTTTTCTTCTGTGAATTCTTAATTTATGAGTTACGAGATAATTAGGTTTAGCCGAAGCCCGTGTGGTTACAACTTAATTTCTGGTGATGCCACTGACTGGAAGGGTTCGATAGAGTGTTCCCGAAAGAGATCCCTCGTGCTGCATTGTAAAAAGCGCCACTGTCAGTTAAACGTGAGCGTGAGTAAAGGCTGGGTAACTGGCGCATTACAGAGGCAACAATAGACTTGTATTGGCTGCAGAACGAAGGGTGGGGGTGGGAAGCGCTGACCCGGGATATTGCCTTTCGACTAAAAATGGGAGCCATGCAATGCCACTAAACCAGCAGAGTAGGCTTAGATTTTACCTCCCTTGTCAAGCCTGCTCATTGAAGGCACGGGTTAGTAACAACCGTACTATACTATCTCTCGGCGAGAAGTTGCCTTCCCAGCGAGGGATGTGTGCTGACTTAGAAAGGAACGGTCTGGAACTCAACCGTGCATGTCAAAGCTACAGGAAAATTCTGTTGCCAGTTACCATGGAAGCAGCTTCTTGCTCTTGTGTACATCCCTGTTTGTATGCCGCTTATCAGATTTTGTTCAAATTAGAAAGTAATTGGGTTTGATTTGTAGTGAGGGGGTGAGATGACTTTAATTTTTTTGAATGCTCGTGTCGTATGTGTGTGTGTTTTTGTGTGTGTGTGTGTACACTTTGAGAGATGGTCTTGGCCAAGCCCTAGTTTCCATACTGCAGGGGTCAATTTCAGGTGGACACCGAAGGATTCCTTTTCCTCATATGCTAAGCTAAAGCTTTCTCAGGGACCTCTGCTTCTCATTCCCGGTTAAAAGAAACCTGTTGGTGCTACCTGCTAACTTCATTAGGCTTATTTCATTCCCATTCTTGCCGAGAAAGCCAAGTCCCGCTATTGTGGACTGGGGTTCTGTTCTGTTTGCCTCTGTAGCTGAAGCCATCCTGCCTGTCCCCCACCCTTACCCCCATCCCAGAGAACATCTACTCTCATCTCCTGTGGTGTTTGGTTGAAACAGACCCGAAATGCAGCTAGAGTAGGATCGCCTGTGCTGTGTTTCTCACTCCTACCATGTTTAAGGTGCAGGCATGCTGCTGTTTGGGGATCCTGAAGGAACCTGCAGTAGATAGATCACCCTGCTCTTACCCTGTTCAGGATTAGAGACAATGGTTGATGGGTAGGGGATTTGTGGGGTGGCAGTTAGTCCCGGCTTGCCCTAGCCGGCTGGGACTTACTTGGTTGGAGCTTTGTTGGAGCTTGCATACCAGGGACAAGGACTTTGCAAAAGTGACGCCCTGCTATTGTTGCCTTTCCCTGCATCAAATTGAATAGTCACTGGGGGGACTTGCACTTGCCTATGATAGCTTCGATAAAATATCCCTCATTAATGCCACTTTATATTTACAGTGTGTCACTGGAGACGCACAAGGCTTCATTTAGTGACTTGTGTGATGAGACAAGCTTGCATTATTTGCCCGGGACATTTTGGAGGAACAAGAGACCCATTGAGCAATCTTTTGAAATGAACAAATACGAAAAAGGGGGGAATAAAAGAGCAGGCAGTTCTCCGGAACAAAGAGCTTTATTCATATGGATGTTGTACATGCTTTATCCAGTTTTCCCCAGTGGCTCTCCTGGTAAAGGGGAGTGGGACGGGGAAGGTGATAACAGGCCGGGCACTCTGGCTTCCTCTTTTACTTCCTGACTTCCCATTCTTACTGGATTTGGTTCCCTACTCACCGCCTGCTTCTCAATCTCCGCTCCAAAACCCCAGAACGTAGCAGGCTCTTAGGTTTCAAAGGAGATTTTGAAATCTTTTCTGCCTTTGTTGGCTCGTACGGAAGAAACTGCTGGGTAGCTAGCTACCTGTTGACTGATCAACATTGGACAGTGTACTGGGTGTAGGGAAAGAGATGTCACTTGTCTATGACATGTGTCAAGATAGTGAAAGTCAGAATGGTAGGTAAGATGTCTTGCAATTATCACATTAGCCTCGCTGTGTTTTAAGGGTGTTGTTAAAATGAAAATCCCATTTAAAAAAATCATTATTAATGGTGCTCTTGGGTTTTATTTTTAAACTTTATCCCGTACCTGGTACATTTCAGCTTCATACGTGATATTTTTTTTCCTTTTAATTCTACAGCCTCTATTGTTAAGTTGTCCCCCTTTTCTTTAAAATTGATAGTAATACTATCAATGAAAATCGGTGCTATGAGACTCATTCTTATTGGGTCTGTGTATGTGATATTTTAAAGCTAATTGACCACATAGAATTTGTATTAATTTTTTAATATTCTGATTGATTGGTGTGTGTGTGTGCGTGTGCGCGTGTAAGTTGTTTAACAAAAAGACTATTTTTATGTGAGGGGTATTTCTTACAAGGGGCCAAGCTAATTGATACTGTGGTTTGGATGGAAATTGACCACATACGAAGAAAATTTAAAAGAAAGAAATCCAGAGGATTAAAATGCTGTATATCTTTTTTTGGAAGAATGCTACTGACCATTATGCTGGGCATTTTTAACAGAAGATCCAGCACAGAAAGGAGAAATCACACAGCGACATCTGTTGCAGAACTGAAAATTTGCTGCTCTGAGATGGAAGCAATTAGCCCCGTGTAACCACCTAATAGTATCAGAGTGTGTGTGCTGACACAAATATGAGCACGTGCACGTTTACATTTGCACACACGCACATCATACAGAAGTTCACGTATTCAAATTAAAGTACTAGAACGTGCAACACTGGAGTGCCGAAGTGCTTTAAAAACTATTAGAGATTGTCGTGATTATGGAACTGCCGAAAATGAAAGATAATGACAATCTTCTTAGGAAACACCATTGTTTTCCGGTGAGGCCGCCACCGCCCAGCTCAGCTAAGACTGAGTTAGCTGTAGATCTTGGATGGGGACAGGTCCCTTGATGTTCAGACAGTGGACCTTTTTTTTTTTTTTTTTTTTTTTTTTTTTTTTATTCTTTCTCCTGGCAGCGATGCCCAGACAGAGAAGCGGATCATGGGAGGATACTACCTTGGCTAAAACTATTTTGTATTCTGAAGGCAGCGAGATTAATTGTTTGCTCTAGGTAATAAACCCATGGATCAGAAGGAGTGACCTCTGGGAAGAAAGGACCAGCTCTTGGTACCTTTGCCTTTGGTGTTGACAAATGATTCTGCAACCTCTGGACTTTATTTGGCAGCCACTGCGCGAATGTCGTCCAAAGTGCCTTCGTATGGGAGACCGCCGGGTTGTGTTGTTGTAATAAGTCACAGGCAAGAGCTAAGCCTCGGGAAGCACATGTTCTGGTTTTTAAGAATTTCATTTGTCTTTTCTGAAGTCTACTACAAGAGCCTAGCTTGGCTTTCTTTGCAGGT